TCGGACAAACTTCCTTCCGTGTCCCAATTCCACGCCCTGATGACTGGCGTGGTTCCCCGGTGACTACAGTTTCAGGAAGACAGCATACGTTGAGAGTAAGTCAGCACACATCCTGGCCATCGGAAACCACACAGCCTCCCCCATAACAGGTGCTGGCATCTCCCAGGGCATTTCTTTGTGGGTTAAGTGTGATTCAGTTGCTGGGAATGTGACCCAGCTCACTGGGTCATGATGCCCTGAGGAAGGCATGCTCAGCAGGAAAGGCATGCCCAATGGCAGCCCGCAGGCCACTCCGCCTCACTCAGCCCACCTCTCCCACTGCCCCTGGTGCCCAGGCTCCTGCCCTCGCCTGCGAGAGCTCCTGTTTGCCCTCCATGCACAATTCCTTGAAACCCCCACCCCTTACAACGGCTGTTTGTAATCCATTCATTCATCTCTGCTCCTGAAGCCAATCTGCAGTGTGTGTTTAAGCAGACTCTCAGTTTAAGTCCTTCAACCAGACCCTCCACCTCCTATCTCCTGCTCTCTCCCTTTGCACAGGTCTTCCTCTAGCCAGATCTCATTATTTTCCTGCCTCTCTCTGTCTTCACCTTGCTCTGCCCATTTGCTCTACCTCCAAGCCAACATCTACACTGTTTGCAGAAAACCCTCCTCACCCTGGGTCTATACCAATTTGCCCTTCTCCCATCCTGCATTCTAAGCGTGCCAACTACCTGGAATTCCCTAAACATCCTGAGCCTTTTCACACCTCCACATCTTGGAACAGCCAGCTCTCTTTGGGAGCAATACCCTAAATGCATCGCTTTGAAAAAAATGGGGCTTGGGACAGCGTATTCTCTGTGGGACGAAAATAAAGTGGTCCCACTCAGCACCTGCAGTGTCTCTCTGACTGCTCATTACAGAGCCTGACAATCATTAACGTGTCTATCTCTCTCTGGACTTGCTTCTTGGGTTGCAAGGGCCTCGGGTGTTGGCATAGCATGAAGTTTCTAAACACAGAGCACCTCATAAAACAGTAAGAACCCCAAATCAAAGCCCTTCTCTGGTTCAGTTGACAGATCTGGCTTCAGTCTTCACTTAGGTAAACCAGATGTTCCTCACACATCTCAGTTCAGACTCATGCTTGAAGTTCACCCAAAGCCAGTTTGAAGGCAGTGATTATGAATTTTTTTTTTAAAGACTTACTCATTTTTTTTTTCTTTTGAAAGGCAGATCCACAGAGAGAATGATATTCCCTCCACTGGTTCACTCCCCAAGTGGCCACAACGGCCTGAGTTGAGCCAATCTGAAGCCAGGAGCCAGGAACCTGCAGGTACAGGGTCCCAAAACTTTGGGCCATCCTCGACTGCTTTTCCAGACCACAAGCAGGGAGCTGGATGGGAAGTGGAGCAGCCAGGATATGAACTGGTGCCCATATGGAATCCTCATGCATGCAAGGCAAGGATTTAGCCATCAAGCCATCACACTGGGCCCAGGTCACTGAATTCTTAGTCTCACTTGTCCTTCTGAACCTTCCTCCTGATCGTCAATGTCTCCCAGATGTTATCAGAAACAGGACAAAGTCCAGATGCTATCAAATGCCACTATCTTATGTATCTAACCATCACCAGGTAGAAGCAGCTGGGCAACAGAAAGAGGATAAAGAGGCTTCAAGGCCACCAGGCAAGAGAAGCTGTGGCTTTAAGCATAGTAATTGTCAACAACTACTTAAAATGTGTAGCATATGCTGGCTCTCACTTCATTCTCACAATTTAGAGGTAAACTGTCAGGGAGGGGGCCAAGCACTGTGGCACAGAGGGTTAAGTTGCCACCTGCAGTACTAGCACCCCATTTGGGCAGGGATTTGAGTCCCGGCTGCTCCACTTCTGTTTTAGTTCCCTGCTAATTCTCTTGGAAAACAACAGAAAATGGCCCAAGTCCCTGGGCCCCTCCACCCATTGTGGGAGATCCAAAAGAATCTGCTGGCTTAGGCCTGACCATACTGTGGGTATTACAGCCATTTGAGGAGTGAATCAGCAGATAGAAGATATTTCCCTCATTCTTTTTCTCTCTTTGTAACTCTGCCTTTCAAACAAACACATCTTTTTAAAAAAACACAGCAACAACAACAAAACACGTGGGCCCAGCACAATAGCCTAGTGGCTAAAGTCCTCGCCTTAAGTGAGCCGGGATCCCATATGGACGCCAGTTCTAATCCTGGTGGCCCCGCTTCTCATCTAGCTTCCTCCGGGTGGCCTGGGAAGGCAGCTGAGGATGGCCCAAAGCCTTGAGACCTTGCATCCGTGTGGGAGACCTAGAAGAGGCTCTGGGCTCCTAGCTCCAGATCAGCCCAGCTCCAGCTGTTGCAGTCACTTGGGGAGTGAACCATCATACGGAAGATCTTCCTCTTTGTCTCTCCTCTCTGCATATCTGACTTTGCAATACAAATAATAAATCTTTTTTTTAAAAAAGTGAGCAGTTACTGCCCCCCTTCTATCCTGCCTAGGGTCACAGAGCCACTGAGTTAAGACTCAAACCCAAATTGAGAGCACTTTTCCCTCAACAGGAGTCCCCTCAAATGTACACCTAAGTCTATGCATGAAACTGCACGCCCTTTACGCCCTGCAGAGCTCCACAGACTCAGCCATACCTGGGGCCACTGACATGCATTCCAACAACGTTGACCAGGTGTGTGTGTTTTTAAGGGTTGGAACCTATCTCCACTCCCAGGATAGAAGCAGCAAGTCAACAGTAAGTGAGCGGTGGAGGTGGGCACCACGCCAGAAATAAGGAGCGGTGGCCATCAGGGACAACAAGGACAGAAACCAGAAAAGAGAGGAAGGCATGTCAGCCCTGCGGTCTGACAGCACGAGGCAGCATGCTCCCTGTCCCAGCCGCCTGGCAAGACCTCCTGGTCACAGAAGAATCTAAACATGTGACGCTGACCCTGAGTCACCAAAAGAAATGTCGCCTTACGCAGACAAGCAGACAATGTCACTGGCTTTAAAGTGATTTCAAGCAAAGGGGTAAGAGTCATAGAATCCAGGTGCTGAAAAGCCATCTTGGAGATGTGAGAAGGGCTGGGCCATTTCCACATGAGCTAAGGAGTTCACATCTCCATGTGAGGGGCCCCACAGCCAACAGACCCTAAAATTAGCTTTGCCCTGGATCAGCTTCCAGGTCATGGGCAAATGCCACCTATAGAAATGACAGATCACAGCTGAGAGCTTAAGGGAAAGTCCCCTTACAACAAAAGGCAGAGCGTCCAACCCTCCCTTACCGCTGCCAGGAGCGACAAGCATCCCATCCCCAGGACTGGGGACTCTGAGCCACACACACAGACCAGGACAACAGGAGGACCTCACAGAGGACAGCCAGTCCTCTGTGTACAACAGCAAGCCAGGGAGGCTGCAGAGCAAGCTGAGGAATTAGCAGGCCAAGGGCCCCAAGGCTGATGGAAGAGAAGGGACCCAGGGAACCACTGCACCTGCTGTGAAATTCCTGCATCTGCCCCCACTGCTGCTGGTGCTGCTGTACCAGCTGCCCCTTACATTGACAAAATGTCTGAGCTGTTTCACAGCTGACAGAGAAGCAGCTCCGAAGCACCAAGCTGGAAGAGCAATTCTCCAGAAATAAAGCGCCAAGGTGGGGGCTAGGTGTGAGGGGTAGGGACAAGGATTTGTAAAAGACCTTAGGACCTCCAATGTGACTTTGCTGAAGGTACAGATTTTAAATAATATTTTACTGATGAGATGGAGAAAAAGTTGAGATGGATTAAAATGACACTTTTTAGATTCTAAGCCATTGGAGCTGGCATTGTAACATAGCAGATTAAGCTACCACTTGTATTTTTATCTAGCTTCCTGCTAATGTGCCTAGAAAAGCAGCAGAAGATGGCCCAGTGCTGTCTTCCCCACATCCACACGGGAGACCTGGAAGAACCTCCTGGCTCCTAGCTTCCACCAGGCCCAATCCAAGCCATTGTAGCCATCTGGGCAGTAGACCACAGGATAGAAGATCTCTCTCCCTCTGACTTTTTTTCTGTAATTCTGCCTTCAAATAAATCAATAAAGCCTTTTTTATTTAATAGATAGATCCAGAGGGGACAGCACTATAGCATTTCAGATAAAGCTACCATCTGCCATGCTGGCATCCCATTTGGGTATCAGTTTCGATCCCAGATGCTCCACTTCTAATCCAGCTCCCTGCTAATGTTGCAGGAAAAGTCATGCAAAATGGCCCCAGTGTTTGGGTCCCAAACTTGCAAATGGAAGACAAAGAAAAAAATTTCTGACTGCTGGCTTTGACCTAGTCCTAGGTATGGCCAACTAGGGACTAAACTAGTGGATGAAAGCGCTCTCTCTCTCTCTCTCTCTCTCTCTCTCTCCCTTCTTTCCCTCCTTCCCTCTCTCTCCTCCTCTTCTCTAAGTTTTTGCCTTTTAAATAAATTTTCATCATCAAAAAAAGACTTAAGGGAGAGCAAATTTCTGATTCCTATGGGAAGTTGAAGACAAGTGAAATGCTATCCTCTTTAAAAACAAAACAACAGGACCCGGCGGCATGGCCTAGTGGCTAAAGTCCTCGCCTTGAACTCACCGGGATCCCATATGGGCACCGGTTCTAATTCCGACAGCTCCACTTCCCATCCAGGTCCCTGCTTGTGGCCTAGGAAAGCAGTTGAGGACGGCCCAAAGCCTTGGGACCCTGCACCCATGTGGGATACCCGGAAGAAGTTCCTGGATCCTGGCTTCGGATCGGCATGGCATCAGCCTTTGCGCTTACTTAGGGAGTGAATCATTGGACGGAAGAACTTCCTCTCTGTCTCTCCTCCTCTCTGTATATCTGACTTTGCAATAAATAAATAAATCTTTAAAAATAAAACAACAAAAACAGCATAATACATTGAATTTCCACACAAGCTTGGTGTTGTGAGAGGCATTCCTTTGCATCCCCTTCTTGCTCCCTAATCTGCCACTCGCCCCCCTCCCTGGCACATACACATCCTGCCCAGCCCCACTTACAGATGCAGGCAGCAGCCAGCAGGCGGCTGGCAGCATAGGGGGCGAAGCAGCTGGGGAAGAAGGGCTGCACCATGTAGTTGGCGAAGGTGATGGCGATGACGGCCTGGCTGGTGGGCTCGATGATGAGCAGCGACGTCCAGAGGCGGATGAAGGCGAGGAAGCCCCCAAAGGCCTCCAGGATATAGGCATAGCTGGCTCCTGACTTCTTGATGGTGGTGCCCAGTTCCGCATAGCAAAGGGCCCCGAACACAGAGAAGAGGCCCCCGACGGCCCAGATGACCAGCGAGAGGCCATAGGAGGCACTGTACATGAGCACGCCCTTGGGGGAGACGAAGATGCCCGAGCCGATCATGTTCCCCACAATGAGGCACACGCCATTGAGCAGGGAGATCTCCTTCTTCAGCTTCACCTGCTCCGACCCTGGGCTCGCCCCATCTTTCTGAGGGGCCGCATCCACCTCATGCTGGGAGGCCACTTCATATTTGACACCGTCAACCATGGTGGGGGAAGCGCAGGCAAACCTTCACCAGCTGTTTGGCATGGCCCTCCAAGGGAGAAAGAGGAAATGAGTTGGGGGTTGAGTGGTAATTACCCAGAACCTCTCCCTGGGATAACACTGGCACTGTGGCATAGTTGAAACATCTGACTACAGTGCTGGCATTCCATGTGGGCACTGGTTTAATTCTTAGGCACTCTACTTCTGACTAAGCTCCTGGTGGCCTGGGAAAGCACTAGAGGATGACCTAAGTGCTTGGGCCCTATACCCATGTGGGAGACCCAGAAGCTCCTGGCTCCTGGCTTTGGACTGGCCCAGCCCCAGCCCTTTGGCAAGTAAACCAGTCGATGGAAGATCTCTATGCTTCTTCACTCTCTGTAACTCTGCCTTTCAAATAAAAATAAATAAATCTTTTTAGAAGAGAGAGAGAAGAAGGGAGGAAGAAGGGGAAAGAGGAAAAGAAAGGAAAGGAGAAAAGAAGGGGCCAGTGCAGGGGGTTTAGCATGGCGCCAGCATCCAAATGGGCACCAGATCATGTATGGCTATTCCACTTCTGATCCAGCTTCCTGCTTACGGCCTGGGAAAGCAGCACCCACATGGGAGATCTGGCAGAAGCTCGGCTTTGGATAAGCTCAGCTCTTTGAGGAGTGACTCAATGGGTGGAAGAGCTCTCTCTCATCCCTCCTTCTCTGTAAAATCTGGCTCTCAAATAAATGAATCTAAAAAAGAAAGCAAACACTATGTAGGGTTCCCCTCATAACGCTTCTTCCTCCCAAAAGACCCTAGCTCTGGAACACCAAGGAGTTCCTCAGCTCTCCTGCTGCTGCTCAGTAAGCATCCCTCAAACCACCCTCAGCTGGAGCCCACAGCCCTGCAGGGCCCTCACTCTAAGGAACGGCTTGGTCCCCCAACCCCAACCCCCGCCAACCTCTTGCCCAGTCTCCAGGACCCCAGGCCTCCTGGTGCCAAATCCTTCCCATCAACATGGTTGCACCACCCAAAGGCTCAGGGGAACCCCAAAATGGGTGGAGGCAGCTGACGACCGCTCCTCACTCGGGGAGGGCAGACTACTACGGCAGAGACACCAGCCAAAACTTGGGAAAAAGAAAATAGCTGAGGCGAACAGGCAGCAGGTCCGGAGAGAGACAGACAAAGCAGGGACAGCTGCTGGGGGGGGCGAGGGCGGGGGAAGACAGGGCCAGCCAGTCAGGCGGGCGGGAGGGAGAGCAGGACCGGAGGTGCCCGTGGAGGAAGCGATTGCAAACTGCGGCGCTGCACACGAGGCCAGCTAGGAGAGCAAACGGGACGCACACTTACTCCCCGGCCCTGGATGGGAGCGGGTTCCCAGGGCGGTGGCCCGCAGTCGCGTGGAGACGCACCCTCCGGGGAACAGTGGTACAACCTTCTCTTCTGAAGCTGCCCGCTCGGTGCAAGGGAAGAAAAATGCCCGTGGGATTTAAGTCAAGGAGGGTGGAGGGGTTGAGGGAGGGGGAAGGAAGGGGCGAGGGCGGGGGAGAGGGATGTTAAGCAACCGTCTGGGTCCAAGGTTCACTGGCCCTTCACATCTGCAAAAGGGGCGGCTGAGCTCTTGGCTCAGCACTTTCGGGCGATAAGGAGGCAAGGCTCCCCGCAGGAATCTCCTTTGTCAGCTCTGTCCAGGGACAGGGGGCGCCGAAGAACGGAAAGTCAGCAGGGTGCGCTTTCAGCAATCCAGGGGAAGCAGTGCAGGGGTAACTAGCCCGAGGCAGGGCAGTGTCACCTCGAGGGTGGTGCCCTGGAAGGGGAGGGGTAGAGGCATCTCCTGTGAGTCCTCCACGCCGCACCCTCGCCTCCCTTCTCCCTGGACCCTGAACAATGAAGAATGGCAGGAATGTCACAAACCGAGACGCAAAGACTTGCTCACAGGCTGAGATTTGAGGAAGTGTTGGAGCTGTCCCCCAACCTCGTGATTGGGCTCTGCTCACTTCCCCTTGCTGAGGGGGTGGGGGTGGGGGTGGGCAAGGCTTGCATCGTTAGGGCCCAAGAAAGGCTGGGACTATGGCCTCCGAGGAAATGAAGTCAAAGAACGAGCTTAGCCTCCATCCCACCCATGTGTGCTTTCATCCAAACGCCAAGGTCCCTGGGAGTTGGGGTGCACACACATTCCCTGGGCAAGTGCTCACTTCAACTTCTTGATTGAGCTAGCCTGGACAGCCAAGGTCCAGAAGCAGCAGAGGAAGTTGAGGTCTTCTTGGGAATCACCACAGTCTACTTTCAAACCTGCCTCCTCACCCTCTTTAATCAAGCAGAAATGTACCCTGTCAGTTCTGAAAACCATCAGCCTTCCCTCCCCGCCCCCCCCTACCCCTTTTGGTTATTCTACAACCACAGAGCAGGGGATCTAAAGCCCCCTGGCAAGACCTAGCTCTACTCTACATCCTTGTAGTGGGGCCCTACACTTTGTTTAAACCAGAATTGGGTGGAGGGTCACCCAGTACTAGCTCTAGCCAAAAATCCTGCTTTCTGCCAACACAGAAAGTTCCAGTCAGAGGCCACGTTCTTCCCAGTAAAGCTTGCCCTCCCCCTCAAATGCGGCTGTTAATAATAATAGCTATAATAATAGCCAGCTTCATTAAGAACTTACCAGACCCAGCCGCCTAAGTACTGTAGTGCATTATCTGAAGGACTCCTCCTCACAGCCCCTCGGGCACGGACTAAGTCACCCACAGGATGAGGCAGGCTAGACCCCCGGCCACACAGCTCCGCCTCTCCCCACGGCCTGCCCCAGCCACCCACGTCTCCGACCTGCCCTAGTCTCCAGGCCTGCCTTTTACACAGGAAAGCGCTGCAGGCGACTCCCTAGGAATCAATCACCTGAGGGATGATGTGATTAGATGAAAAAGAAAGGCACTGTCTTCCTCCAGCCAGCAGCCCAGGCTGGGGCCGGTTCACTTCCTTCCCAGCGGCTCCTCCCCTTTCTCATCCTGCGGGGGGGTGGGGGGGAGGGAGGCGAGGACTAGAGGTAATTATTAGCCGTCTAAACCGCTCCTTTGTGCTAGGGTGCCCACTTGTTAGGCAAACGTAACATCATGATTATGCCAGCCCTCTTGAAGACCAGTATCACTAGCAGCAAGGGGGTGGGCATGTGCCCTCCTGTGACCCAGAGGAACGAAGGAGAACTGGGAGGCAGCGCTGGGGGGAGGGGGCGGCGGGAGCGGGCAAGGTCTGGCTCCCTGCAAGTGCAAACTCTTCTGGGATCTTGAGACGCAAACCAGCTGGGGTGGAAACCCAGGCTCCAGCAAACAGCACGCCCTAGTGGCCTGGCCAGGAAGCACCACGGGGGACTCAGGTGGCCCAGGCAAGCACCGGGCAGAAGCCCTCCTCTGCTGCAACCGCTGCCGAGCACGTGGGCCAGAAGCACGCCTGTGGCGGCTCACATTCTTTCCTCAGCCCTGGCATCTCGAGGGAATGTGCCCACCTTTTGGGCAGCCTAGGTCCAGCAGCGGCGTCCGTAGGCTCCCTGGAGGCTTTGCAGAGAAAATGCAACAAGACCTAACAGCGCTCCTGGTCTTCCTCCCCAGCCTAAGGTGAAGACCTGGGAAAATGATAGGGTAACCTAACACAATCTTGGGACAGCCCCTGGGAAAGGGTCTTCCGGCACACGGGCAGCAGCGCCCCCAGCGTGTGGAGCAGCCCCATGTGCTGGCCCTACCTGAGAACGGCAACACCAAGAACCCCCTCCCTCTAGGCACCCACCACAGGATCTGGGCTCCTCAGCCACACTTGCTCATGGAGCACCTAGGGAAGCACACCCTTCCCCTGCCCCTGCTAGACCCCAATCTTGCCTTCCTGGCTCCAAGTGGTCTGCGCTGCCTCCTCCAACAAAAACAGAACACACACACACCCCCACACACACTGCTCCATTCTCCACCCCATTACTCCAGACTAGCTGCTCAGCTCCTCCCTCTCCAGTTCTGTATTTGTTTTTCTGTATTCCACTGTGGCTGAGACAGTCCCCCCCCCCAAAAAAAAAAGTGAAACAAGAAATTGTTTACTCTGTGGCCAGAGCTCCCATTAGCGTCTGGCTTTAAGTCTGACTAGGGAGAAGTGGGTCCATAACCAGGAAATAGGCAGCTGTAGGGTCTGCCTTCAGCCGAGCCATTTTCCAGGCTCCCTCTGTCCTCCGGCACTGCCCCTCTCACCCACTGTCTCTCCTCTCCCATCTCTTACCTGTCCCGCAGGACCTTTGGACAGGTGCAGAGAGGAGGGGCTAACAGCACGCTGGGGGGAGAAGGGGGAGTCAGCAGGTGCTAGTTAGGGAAACTGGGGCCATCCCTCGTGCTGCAGTTGTTGGCTCTGAGGCACGGCACGGGCAGAGGATGCCGGGGACCGAAATGGAAAACAGGAAAACACATGTGTGACTCTGGCCGGCAGTGGGGAGGGACCGGGGGCTGGGCTGCAGCTGGGCCTGCCAGATCTGATCTGGAGGCCCTCCTTGCCTGCTGGCCTCCCTCCGCTGGCCTCCCTCCTCCCTAGCTCAGCCTCTCATCCTGCACTGACCAGGCACCTGAGCATTCCCTGTGCGCTAAGGTACATCCCCTCCCCCACAACCGCTTACAACTGCCCTCCTCCCTCTTGCCTCATTCCATTTCTTACTCATCTCTCACTATGCTTAGTTCTGCAGAGGGCGTGTGACAGCACAGTGAGGGCAGTTCCATTTCAAAGGTTTTGGTGCCACCTTGGTCCCCTAATTTCCCCACCCAAGCAGGCCAAGGAAGGTCACCTATGGGGAGTCCAGCCAACCCAGTGAGCCCCCTCACTGGTCAGATCCCCAAGTAGTTCAGCAGACAGTAGGCAGACTGGAAAGGTGAGTGTTTGGTATATGATGTTTATGACACCACTAGAGACACCCACGTCCCCTTCCATGGAGTTTGGAGTCAGCTCCCCTTCTTTTATGTTTAAGATTTTTAAATGTTTTAATATTTTTATAGAAAGGCAGATACAATTATTGAAAAAAAAAGGCAGATATACAGAGAAGAGGAGAGATAGAGCGGAAGAGCTTCTGACCAATGATTCACTTCCCAAGTGGCTGCAGCGGCAGGAGCTGCGTCAATCCAAAGCCAGGAGCCCAGAGGCTCTTCCAGGTCTCCTACTTTGGTGCAAGGTCCCAAGGCTTTGGGCCGACCTCCACTGCTTTCCCAGGCCACAAGCAGGGAGCTGGAAGGGAAATGGAGCAGCCAGGATACAAACAAGTGCCCATATGGGATCCCAGCATGTTCAAGGCGAGGACTTTAGCTGCCAGGCTACTGCACCAGGCCACAGTTCCCCTTCTAATGTTAGCTTTCTGTTCATATACACCATAGGAGGCAGCAGATGAAGCTTCACGCAGTTGAGCCCTATCCACCCACGTGGGAGACCTGGGTGGAATTTCCAGTTCCATTTTTGGGGGTTTTGTCTTTTCTCAGTTTCTCTCAAATAGCTTCTTCTTTTTTTTCCCCCGCAAAAGACAACTGGGCCAGGGTACCCTTTAATGAGTTGGTGTTGCCTCAAACAAGTGTTATTTAAATATTTCTGAGTGATTACTTACCAGAGATGGGGAGAACACTGATTTTCTTAGAATAAAAACCATACAGTCATCTTTCTTTATATCCAAAGTTAGAGATCATTACAAGAATGCATCACATGCAATCTTGCCAAGCTGACTTCTCGGAAGGCACATTAAACCACTCAGGACGCAGACAGTAGCAGAAGTCTCTGTCCTCGGGGAGTGGCACTTCACCAGGGAACATTTTCTGAATTCCAGCTGTGGCTGCTCACTTTAGGCTAATGTCAGTTCATTGGTTTCAGGCCACACCCTGCAACTTGCATCTGCCAGCTGCCAAATGACCCCCAGACGCAGGTGACACAGGAAGGAAGTCTTCAAGGATTCCGTGTCACTGGATAGGAGCCACTTTGTATTTCACTCAGAGTCAAAAAAGTCTAAGTTCGCTGGCACCAAATATCTGAAGTATATTCCAGGGTTACACGAGTGCCCTTTCAGATCCAGGCTACTGCCCAGCCAACCTGCCTCTTTACTCTAGGGCCATGTCCAACTGGGAAGTGAGGGAGACCCTAGGAAGAAACAACAGCTGGCCCTATAGGCACCAGGCCTGCTGTCCTCACTCCATCCCAGCCATGCTGGTCTCCCCGCTGTGGCCACCCCATGAATACCAATCTGGTTCCTGCCTAAAGTGGTCAGTGGTCAGTCACCTCGCATCACCAGAGGTTTGTCCCCCACCAAATCACCCCCAGCACGGCCTTCCTCCTCGGCCAGACTCCTGGACAAGTCCTTGAAAGTGACCTCCAGAAGCCTCACCCACCCCAGCTCTGACATTCACGGGGTTGAAAGGAAGCAGAGGCTTTTGAGATTGGCATTGTGTTTTGTAAATGGAAGAGGCCCTCACCCCTGGGTCCGGGAAAGCCCTGGCTGCTCCATCCCACAACCAGTCTTGGGAGATTCGAGTAGGCGTGGTGGGAGCGAGACACTGGGGCAGGTGAGTCCACGAAAAAGCAGCCAGGACTGCAAACCCAGGGCGCCAGCTCTCCCTGCCCCGCCCCGCGCCCCTCCCCATCCTCCCTACACCCTCACTCCTGGTTCACCTTTGCCCCTTATGTCTTTCTCTCCCGCCCCCATCCTGCTTTCCCGGAGCCCTGGGCATTTTCTACCTCTGCGACCTTGCCAAATTCCAACCCGGCCGCCGGCCGCGCTGTGCATCCCTCTTCAGAGCTGGCCACGGGGCCAAGCATGCTTTGGCTTTGGGGCACCAAGAGCCCCACCGCACCAGGAGTCCCTTCCGAGCCCTC